TCTAAAGACTTGTTCTCATAATGAAATAATCTACCATTGATAAGTAGTGCCGCCAGAACCCAGTTCATTTAAAGCTTTTTACATGAACCACATTCAGCGGTAATTGTTTGTAAAGTCTTCCCAGGACGGAGATAACAGAGCACAGGAAAGTGTTCAGGAGTCTATGAACGGACTAATCTTTTAACACGAAATCCTCAAGCGCTGCTAAGTCCACTGAATCATCCGTGTCACTGAGAGGATCGCTAGTCTGTAGCCACAGAGGTCTGGAAACACCATTGTCACAACAACATTACACTGAGTCATAAGCATTGGTTGATCTTCAAACACTTCAGGATGTTTCCGCTGATTTAGTATCTATAAAACGTGTTGACACTTCATCGTGTTTTGGCTCAGTGGGAAATGAATGACTTCCTGATGACTTGTTGTGTCTGCCACAGTGTGATCCTGGTGTTTGTTATTGTGACCTGTTCAGCAGGTTGAACAGGACCTGTGCGTGGCCTTTGGGCGCCGTGCTATATGTGCAGGGCTTTGAAGGGATGGAGAGGATCAGCTGCTGTGTTTGGCCGAGCTGCTCTTTAAATAACTTTTCCCCCAAACACTTTCAAACCACTTCGCATCATAAAAAAGGAAGTTACATCATCCAATCATCCTAAATAACCCAATTAGATGAGAAAGATATAACTGCACATGAGCACTGCTAACCTTGTAGCAGACAGCCAGATCAGCGTGGCTTCAGGTAATTAGATTTACAAGGTCTTCAACTTAATTTACTACTATGTTCAAAGCAAACTGCAAAACAAGCAAGGAGAGGCGGTTGTGGAGCAGTGGCTGTTGTGTGGATTCATTGGACGTCTCCCTGAAGCTGGAAGGAGATTGCTCCTGTGAATCCTTCTGCAGCTGCTGGAGTGATGATCCTCTGTCATTAACGTGCGTCTGCCAGGCAAAGAGATTATCAGGTCCATGTCTGGGTGAAAGTATTAACTCGGCCGTCAATGCATGGCTTACAGTTGTATGTATATATATATACTCTAGTGTTTCAGAAAAGAATGCATGGTTGCAAATATTTGAGTATTTAGGAGTTTTCTTTTAATTTTAAGACGGTTTTAATGGGATCATCTTTTTTTAATATACTTCTAAAATATTTTTAAATGATTAATTCAAGTGTGTTAAACCTTTTCCGGCTTATACATGATAAAAACACAACTCGTCGATGATGTTGCGGCGATGTCGTCAGAGCTAGTCTTAAATTTAGCGACAGACTCTAAATATTTGTCAGAAACCGTCCTACAAATGTTCTTGATTCATCACTTCTCGATTCTGCTTTCGCCTTCGTCTCCACTTTCCTCTGCCTCCTCGCCTCTGTATCCCCAAAGCACTAACCCTGATCTATAATCGATTCCTGCATTCATATGAACGGCTCTCCGCTGTCTTGTAAACACAGAGAAGGTCAGGTTTTACTGTGATGCACTTTAACAGAGCTGGGGGAAAAACAGCTTTAACGACAATTTAGTGAGATGATGCAGAAGCCGCTGGAAATGAGCGGAGCTGATTTGTTCTCCAACACCTGCAGTACATTTACCCACTCAGTGAAACACAGCTTGTGCTGATGCTGCGGTTTTTTTAAAATGTTTGAGTCATGCTGGCAGAATGAGTGCGGTAAGGTGACAGCTTGGGGGACTGTCACTGGAGCACTCAGTATCGGATTCATAGCCTCAATGAATATTAGTGTTGATAAGTCAGCGACAGAAGCAAATGATGCTCAGTTTGTCATCTTTCTTACTGAAGGGGAAGCAGGATGGAGTAACCGCTTTTGTTTGTTTGCCTTGTTCTTGTTGTTGTGCATTTCATGTCTAAGATATTTTATAGTTTAGTGTGGAGCTGGTACGATAACAGAAACAGAAAAGTCTATGGTACAGCCTTAAATGAGGTATCTGCTAAAGAAACGATTTCTGTCCTATCGCACATACTAACATACTAATATGTGTAAATTGGGTGTCAACAGGTCGATGCTAACGGGCAGTGACGAATGTCAAAGCTAGGAAAATGTCAGTGATCAGTTTTTGAGACTGTTTTTTTTCCATTTAAAGATAATCTAAAAATAGGTCGACACAGAAGATAAAACGGTATTTTGTTGTATTCAGTATTTCTCTGGAGCTCTCTGCTGGACAGTGTTGAGCTTGATTTCAGGAAACTATTCCAGTCCATGCAGGCATTCCTAAAGGCTTAGTAGCATACAGATGTTAAAAAAAAAAAAAAAGACTGCTTATATTTTAACACCAGTGGTAGTCGTGGCTAACTGTCAATGGACATATGCTAAATCCAGTATCGGAATTGATATAAAGATGAACAAATGGTGTTTGTCTTCTCTAGTTTTAGTAAATAAATACTTTCCCTATTCTCAACTTGACTTTCTAAATGTTCAGACCATCCCTGAAATCTCCCGTCCAAATCCAGATGAAGGAGTCCAGGCAGATTACACCCGAGCCCTTTCGATGATCCATTTGGCTAATCCTGATCATAGTGAGTTGGCGGTGCCCCCTGTCTTACTGCTGAAGGCGGGGGGGGGGGGGGGAGCAGGACACATCATCACCATCAGGCTTCAGTCGGTTGACCCACACCAACCACAATCCAATACAGCAATGAGATTGACCTACCTTTTAAATATGGGATTAAATATCTGGTTTTATTGTGGCCTGCGAGAATATGTCCTGTGAAAACGATCCTCATCTGAATGAACCAGTTTGACTTGTGTCCAGTTAAGAGAACATCCAGTGGAAATAGTTTTTTTATGACTATACAGTAATGTCAAACATGTTTACACTTGTCTCTCTAAAACTGAATGGCAACTTACTACTCTAAATGTCTATCTACAACCTCATAATAAATCAGAATTCACGTTAAACTTCAGTAAATCACGACCTGTTTGCACCTTCCAGCAAATGTCTGTCTGATGTTTTACTGTCCATATGTCCTGTTCAAACGCAGAGTAAACAAAGCATGTAATCTGGTGACAGCAAGTTCAACATGCTGCTGTGTCTGTTGACAGTTCGCTAGTGGAGGATTGGCGTTAGCCGGACTAGCATCTGCTTTCTGGCAGCAGAGAAGCTGAGGGGAGATTAAACGTTAGTGTCTATGCTAGCTGGCTCTGCAGCTTCAGTCCAGACTTTGTTGTCTAAATCAGGGCTGGCAAAAGGCCTCCCTAAAGACGGCTGGCGTTGACAGGACTGTCTGCGCCTCTTCGAGCTCCCAGTCGTTCGCTCCCATGTCACCAAGCCTTTGCTTTTTTTTCCCCTTCGCGCTCATTTCCTTTGCCTCCAAATCCAAACTCTCAACAGAAACATCCATGCTGCTCAGTTCCTAGTTAGCCCTTAACCTTTTTTTTCGAAATGTAAGAATTGAAAATCATGATGCAAGTCGAGGTGAAATATTATTCGCAGCTGCTGTTTAAAATGCCTCAATTACTGTCATCAAACCTCATCCAGACCTCTTCTCTGACAGGTTGATTACAGTGGTAAACTGATGTCTCTGTCCAACTCTTGGAACAAGACAAGCTAATGGTGGGACCGCCAGAGGATGTGATGTGGGATTGAAGGAGCGCGGCCGTCTTGCTCCATCCCCTCTTTTCCTCTAATTAATTTTTTTTTATGTGGTTTAAGAACCGTATGACTGTGTCCTCTGTGAGTCAGACTCGCATCAACCTCAGAGGCCTCGGTGAGGTTTGGCGGGCATGTAAGGGAGTCTCCTGAGATCATCAGCGTGGTCGTAGTGGATGCTCTCGTGGGTTAATTTAAGTCCCTCTCCAAGGACTGGATATACGTCTCATTCTAAAATGCCAAATACAAGAGGATTGTATGGCTTTTACTTTGGACATTTTGAACTATCAAAGATTGTTCAGGATTTAAACATGCCTTTAAAAACTAATCTAACTCTACATCCTGGATGTCAGGGGCTGGTTTCTTATTGGTGTTACAAACATACAAAACACTGCTCTGTGTGTCTCCAAGGAGACTTTAACTTTGCATAATCCAAATACAATACAATACAATTTATCCAGCTGTCCACATTTGTACTCATTCATTCTTTTTCTTGACCTACTCGCCTCTAAATTTCTGAATTTATTCACAACTGACAATTGTAGCACTTGGTGTGACGGATGGCTAAACACTGGAATCATTGTGAGCCTCCGGACTATAAATATATTTCATTTCAAGTGGTTTGAGGCTGGAGTAAGGAGAGGGGAATTAGGCTTTTCTTCAGTCAGTCAGTGCTACTGGGTTGTGTGCTTTTTGCTCTGCATGTCAGGCCTCTGCAGTCCCTCTCTCAGACCCCCTTTTTTCCCCCTCCTTGTTCCCCCTCTCTCTGCCTTTGTTTCAGTGCTACTGCTGCAGTGGGCCATGCCTGCAAATGAGCACAAGGACAGAGCAATTATTCAGCACGGGGCGAGCCCAGCACCCCTCTTTTTGTACGCGCACACACTCATTCTCCACCCGTCATGTTCGGATGTGTCATGCATTCATAATGGGAAGTTCTTTGAAGAGCAGAGGAGAATTTTAACGGGTGAGGTGAACACTGAGAGGTGAATGAAATACGCTTTTCGGATGGACTGTTTATCTTGGACCTCAATTCCCTCAGGGCTGCATTAGCTTCATATCCATTTCAGAGATGAATTAATGTGACTGACACTCGCACACAAACATACACACGTTTCTTCTCCCATCCCCCAATTTTTTTTCCAACCTTCCCAGTACGAGAGAGAGACACTGGTTTGGTTGCAGAGTGTGCACTGGTGCAAGAGCATCACGGAAGGGGGGGTGGAGATTTTCATGAGACAGCATGCCGGTTGGCTGTGTGTGTGTGTGTGTGTGTGTGTGTGTGTGTTTTCATGAGCTTGTAGCGGGGTGCTTGCCGGCTCTGCTCGCCGGCCAAAGAAGCATCAGCTCATTTTTCTGTCGCTCAACCTTTTTTTTTCCCCCTTCTTTCTTGTCTGTCTCTCTGTGCAGAAGCCGCTGCCTTGCCCTCCCCTTGAGCCCTCTTCACGTACAAGAAGCTGGAGTAACTGCCCGTCCCCACCAGGTGAGACACATTCATTTCTTTGCTTGTTAGCCTTGAACATAATAATTAAATTTACGAAGGCATCTGCATTTTTTTCAAAGCATTTATAGCCACAGATTATATCTTTCTTTTGATGATGTAAACTCTTCTTCCTACGAGCTTCCCTCTGATCTTTAGTCTCCTTTCATACCATCTCTCCTTTGTTTGCATGGCTGCTAATTATTCAGGTTATTTGCTGCTGACATATAAAAACAACAGAGTAAAAGAGCTGATGCGATAAGCCAGGGGTTGTTTCTGTGTTTTGGTGACCTATAGTCTTTGTGACGTACCCCGTCTAGACATCACTGATTATTCAGCCAGGAGGATGGCACATTTCACCCTGAGAGTGGAGTGCTGGAGTGTGTGTAAAAAAAACAAGGCTTATAAAACCCTGAGACGTGTTAAACATCATATCAATTAGAAGACAAAGGGCATTTGTGATAATTTAGAGGATGGCGGGTCGCTGTTGGCGGTAACCGACTCATAGCCGACAGATTGTTGGTGGTTTCTTCGTGGGAGTGACAACAAGCCAAGCGAGACCACAGGACACATTGCACTGCCTGTCACAGCCGGCATATCTGGCTGTGACAAGTTTGCTGAAGGCTGGGTTGGGTGGAGTCTGAAGGCGTGCGGTTTAGATCTGAGCAGGTGGTGATGGAGTGATGAGACGCCAACTCTGACTCCCAGGCGTCACCTTTTTTTTTTTTTCCCCCCTCCCAGTCGGTCTTTACCTCTTCCCTCCCATTTTGTGTAGTCCTCCCCCTGCGTGTTCCTGCTCTCCTCCTCTTCCCTCTCTTTCCGTATAACACTCTTTTTATTTCTCATTCCCTTTTCTATTTATGAGTCAGGCTCGTTCTTACTTAGCCCCAGTCAAGCGAAAGATAATAGACATTACTCTGATACAAACAATTTGCTGTCCAGCCTTTTATTTTGGTGGAATAACATTTTCTAAGAAAGTATAATAACAGATTCTGGTAGTTATTTACCTGCTAGCTTTTTAGTAGGTTTGTAATTGGTCTGTACTCTGACTGCTGGCTAGTTAGCTCGCACAAATGTTCTGGATTGTGACTTGTGCAGTAAGTAAACACAAGATAACGTCACCCACAAAGACTGATGAAGGACATCTAAACACTGCTCTTCATTTAATCTGAGTCACTTGAAGTTGAAGTGAGGGAACTTTTTGGGGTTTTAAGCTGAACATTGTTTTGATCTTTGACACTGTGCCAGAAGCCACCAGGGTGTCTGTCAGATCCACATTGACGTGCCCCCCCCCCCCCCCCCCCCCCCAGTTCACCGCCATCCTCCCCCTCTCTCTATCTATCTCTGTCACCGTCTGCCTGCATGGTCGCTGGGCAAGGCCAGCTCCGAGGCGAGCTGTCGTTTCCTGGGAACCAACTTCGGGATGACATGCCATGGCGTCGGAGGGGAGGACAAGGGGGTACACAACCCCTCTCTCTGTCCTCATTTTTAGGGTCACAAATGGAGGCCTGTCCCCCCAATTATCATCCATCTCCCCCTCTTCCGCTTTTTCCTGCATCCGCCTTTTATGCCTGCCGAGCTCATGCCCTCAGAGCGAGGTCATGTTACCCTCGGAGGCCACCGTGGCAGGCGGTTCACCAACTGTTGAGTTTGCAGGGCAGAATCAGTGGGAGGGAGGGACATTGTTCAGGAGTCGACATCGCCCGTTCCCAGTGTTAGTCAGCGAGACGTTTGAATGTAATGGAGAAAAATGTAGGTGTTAGAATCTCAAAATGCCAAATGTGAAAGAGGGTGTCATTGTGTTGCCCACCTTCACTTTTTCCAACTGTCCGTTATTCCAGGAAGAAACCGCCATTCTCAAGTTAAGAGATTCCTCGTTTGTCTCGTTTGAAGTCTCTTGTCACCGTCTAGAAGAATGTATAATGCAGTCGAGTCAACACCACCCTCGACCTTGACAAAACGCCCCCAAGTGTCCGTTGAGAAGTGACACTTGATGGGTGTGCAGCTGGATGTCAAAGAAATGAGGTGGCTAAAAAAAGACGCATGCGGCTAAAACAGAACGATGAAAGATTGCAATCATGCTGGGGTCAAATACTTTGAAATTCAAGGGGTTAAGGGGTTAAAAGGCTGGAGTAATTTGATGGTATCTTCCAGACAACTTTACAAATCTGATATTGTGCATATTTTTAGGCGTCCTCGAGTGGAAAAGTTCCTCATGGCTGTTAACTCGTAGCCCGCAGGCTCCCTTTCAGACGGCGTTGTGCTCTCCTGTTGATTGATGAATGTGGATGTAATGCTCAGAAACCATTTAGAAACCTACATCTATATGAATACGAAACCAGTTCTCCCACCTGTCTTCACTTTCAAGTGCAGCTGTCGCCTTGAGGGCGCAAAAACATGCACCTGGTCCTGCCTGCTTTACATATTTCACTCTGCTCACTTGTGTTTGAGCTCGTACATGACGGGCACAGAGCGTCCGATTTTTACATCCAATCTGTGGGGAATGCGATGACGCTACCACATTCATTTGTCTCATTTCTCTCCATGCCCGAATCTCTGATCTTGCAAAGCAATATCTTGCTCTCAGTTATCAGTTGAATTCCTCTCCAAACGGGTGTTACAATCACATTCATAATAAGCCCGCTCATCTCTCATGTCTTCTTCCTGGAGATTAATTAACGAGCCTCTCTCCCTGCAGAGTTTGTCTCATTAGCGGGGGCCCCTCTGTCACCGTGTGGAGGTGTAGAAAACAACCGCTCGTCTCTCTGTTCACCTGTAAGATTGCACCAGAGGCCCTTCCCGTACAAAGGAGTTGAGGACTTTGTTGAGAGTCGTGATTAAAAAAAAAAGTCAAAGTGAATCACAGCTGCAATTACTCGCTACATGAGTCCAGCAACGCAGAGATAATGAGGAGCTGTTGACGCCTAACACCGCTCGATGAAATGAAAAACGAGGAATCTTAGGTGTGATTGCAATCAGAAAGACAATATTTATAAATGCTGATTGCGTTAGTTTGAGTCATATTTCTCGTCATTCTCTTCCTGTCTTTGATCCATTAAACATGCTTGTGTTTGTGTTTGTATGGAGGCCTGCATTGGCCCGAGGTGGCGGGTGGGTGGTTGTGTGTGTGTGGAGAAAGACGAAGGCTGCCTCTGTGAATTATAGATGAGGAAATGGGGTCGATGGCCAAGATAGAAGAGGATGAAAAGAGAGAGATGCGCCGCCAAATGCAGAGGCTGGGACCCCAGGATGGACCTACAATAAGTCCAAACAAACCGATAGAGCGACTCTACAGCAACATTATGAGCATGAATCAGCAAAAAAAAAAAAAAATCACTTTATATTCTCTAACACCGGTTGTAGAAGGTAGGATTAGTTCTGGCAGAAGCAACAAAGTCTTAGAGAGATATAATACAAACCTCGGGCAGCTTCAGCAATATTCACATTTCTCACTAATAGCGATCGCCCTTACAAGCTAACATGGCAGTGTGATGGTGGTACCAGGATATACATTCATTTGTGCTGTGAAAGAATTTCTTTCCTTTTGCATCGTGACAACTAACCTCGATCAAAAAAACAGATTTATTCACTGAAAAAAAAAAAAAAGTTTTGGACCACAGCTGGTACAAGACATGTGACAGACACAAGAAACTGAACTGAAAATGGACCAATTCTAAAATGTTTTCCAGGTCCGGACACTTCTTTTTAATTCTTTTTTTTTTTGGGATAAGCTTGGGAATCTTCGTGATGTTTTAAAATGATGAAAGAAAACGCACCTTTTTTAAGCCGTTGGGGGGGGGGGGGGGTCTATGGCATTAAATTAGGATTTTTCTGGCAGGAGGGTTTGCGGTACAAAAATCAATCCAAAGACTGTGAGGAATGGACCCACTCTGGCTTAATGTGATGTTTGATACAGTGTCGGTTTGCTTTCATCTTTTGTTCTAAAGGCTGCTTTTCCAAAATGATTGATGGTGAGATTTGGATAATGAACGTCCCGCAGGATTAGCCGTGTTAGAGATCAATACACCAGAATTAAAGGAAAGCCTGTAATGCCGAAAGCACCGCTCAATAAAACCAAACCCGAAATACTTTTTCTGTGATGTCGCCCCACTTCACCGCTCTCTCATCTCACTGCTCCTTTCAGCAAAGTTCAGGAAGGTTTATCGGCCTTTTCAGCCCGTCGCTGAGATCAGGATTCATTTCCTGTTAAGACTCTGATGATGAAGTCAAATCTGAGGATTAGGTCAGCCTCTGACCTCCTTAACCTCCTTCAGATATTTTCCACTCTTCCTCGTCGCCGTCTCTTCTGTCTTTGCTCTCGGGTTTGACCCATTTGGCCTCTTTTTCCTCCTGGGAGGAAACACGCAGATCAGTAAACTGTGTCAACGGTTTCCTCCGTTGTCGAGACTCTGGACAAATTGTTTGTGTGTTGTACAGTAACCGTTTCCCTCGACAGAAAGGAGATGCCTTGTTGAGTTGATGGCCATCCTGCAGGTCTAATCGGTCAAATTATTGTCATTTCATTGAGTAAAAGCTGCGATAAATGAGTTCAAATGTTAACACTTCTTCTGGTGGGCATTAAAACAAACAAGCAAGGACAATCACATGAGCCCAGCAGTGACAGAAGAAGAAGTCATTTGGTTTTAATGATAGAAAAGATAATTGTTTCCACAAAGTCCCTTGTGAATCCATTATTTCCCCTCAATCACAGCTCATTTTCTCCACTTTCTTGTTTTGGATCAAGATCACGAGTCGCTGCTCGAGCGAGGAATCATTTCCTGTGACGCTTTTAAAAACACGACTTCTTCAATGACTCTATTCTTGTCACTCCTGATATTTTTAGGACTGGGCTGTAACCACACATATCTATCCACTGCTATTCCATCTACTTGTCCCTTCTGTTTTTTCTTTGCTCAGCTTCCCTGACTGGCCCCATTAGACATATTACTGCCTCTCTGACCTTACCTTCCCTTTTCTCTCCCTCTTTGTGTTTCTTACTATTTTATTCCCTCTCAAATTTCTCCTCTCTATCTCAGTCTGTAATATCAGCCTGCTTCCTCTTGGTGTCTGATATTTTTGGGGACAGCATTACCACAACCAGCTGAATATGAACGGACAAAAGATCTAAAAATACAAGCTACGTTTAAAAGCAGAAGGATGAGTCAAGAGACATATTTCCTCTTCTCTGAGATGTTTCCTTCTCTTTAAACTCCAGGCCTCTTACTCTCTCGTCAGTAATAAATCAGCCTCCTTCCTGTTTGGAGAATCGTTCCTCTGCTCTCTTCCCCTCCCTCATTTTTTTTCTTCTCTCCATTTCTTCTTCTGTCCTAATGTCTGTTTTGGCGCCAGAATCCCCCCCTGGTCCCTTCACACTGTTTTACTGTTAACAGGATGCTCTGTAGGTAAATGTAAACGGCCAAATCTGTCTCTCTTAATGGCCGTCTTAAGCCTGAACTCATCCTCTGGCTCAGCCCCAACGGAGCCATGCAAGAGGAACACCAAAATCTCAAAAAAAAAAGCTCTCTAGTGGAGCCCCGTCTTATTGGCAGAAAAAGACGAGCCATCACTTCTTATCACTTGTTTCTGAAAGATAATCCCTCTCTTTTCTTCTTTGATTATTATCATCTCTTTAATCCTCTGCTCAGAAACAATGTCCCGTCTTCTTTCTAAGTTCTCAAATTTAGAGTTTTCTCGAGATCATGCTCAGTGCTGATCAACAGGTTTCAGCTCGACCTCGTGATAAAACTCCTTATTGATTTCATTTTCTTGCTGTCCTAACATGAAGTCACTTTCTCTGTTTTTTGAACGCAGGTCTGAGCAGACCCCTGATCCCGGCTCCTTTCATCCCGACGTGAAGGCAGCTCTCTGAGGTAGGTCTGTGCACCAACAGGTCTCCACTTTGCAGCGACTTCACAGTTGCAGATCAATCAAGAAGAGATGGAATCATACAGGTTAATACATTTGGTGAAGCTTGAATATAACAGTGCAATATCACAGCTGCATATGAGATTCCACCGTCAGTGTTTTGCCTCAGAGAAATGGACACAGTGCTAAACCATGACAGCGGTTTGAAGTGATGTCTGAATGCAGCTTTAAGAGAATTTAACCCCCTGAAACACAGACGTCTGGACTGCTGCCAGATGATATACTATGCTCTCCTTCTTCTTCTCCATGACATTTCACACTCACTGTTCCCATGACTCACGGGGGGCCCCAGGAGTCAGATCTAAGTGGCTGCACTCAGCCAGATGATTAGCTTGGCTCTTTGCGGATATGTAATAGCTGCGGAATTATGCGCCGCAACATGTGGGAAAGTGAGAGAGAGGACGGTTTGCTTTTTGGCGGTCAGAAATATGAAACATGACATCAAACCCAAACAGTCATTAAGTCGAGAACAGGATCTCTTGTTTTGAGCTTTCTCTGCTTAAATGTGTTTGAGTTTCTTGAGCGATACAGGCGCGATATGATACGCTTGGTTGTTCAGAGGAGTTGTTTCAGAGAAGTCTTCTGTTCGTGTGTGAGCGTCTGTCTTTAGCTCATGTTAGCAGTATGTTTGCTCCCAGTCCGAGAGGCCTGGCTTTAACTTGATGGGTGCGTTTGTTTGCCTGTGGTTACGTTGTTGGGTGTCTGTGCCAGCGTTCAGGTTGAAGTGGGCAGGGCATGTGTTGAGGTATGAAGGCTGTGAGCTGTCAATCAAATCCTCATAGATGGAGCCGCTGCACGTTTCCTTTTTTTAAAACACTGAATGCCTGTTCAAACTTCAGCAACCTGTCTTTTTTAAGATCAAATACATTTGCTGAAGCATTGAAAAAACATACAGTCGTCTAATATCCTTAATTCAACTGTTCCAGCCTGAGATTAAAAACCTTGTCCCCTTTTATCCCCTTTTTTGTCTCTAAAATCCTTATCACAGCAAAACTAGTGCTGAACTAGGATACCACCCCCCCATCAACACCAGCCTAAAGTCTAGCGTTACATCACCAGCCAAGCCGCCATCATCAGTGTATCGATGGATTTAAAAGGCTCGTGTCAGTATAGTGTTGTGGGACGGACCCCTGGGGGGGGGGGGGCTGCGCCTGGAGGATCTTGTGACCTATTTCAAGATCCATAACGTGGTCAAAGTCAGCTTTCTGCAGCCAGCATCCTCCACTGACCCCTCCCACGCTGGGGCTCACATCACCATGGGAACAGTGACATCAGAGTGGGGCGGGGCTGATGTGTGTGCCGGGAAATATCTCGTCTGATGAGATTGGAGGGCTGCAACTAAAGTGAATGAAATGCCAAGCACGCAGGCGTCGAGAGGAGGGAATAAATCTCAGCAGGCAGTTTGAGTCTCTCTCAGTTAGAGTCAACCTTAACTCGTCCTCAAGGGGCAAAATATCAGTTTGCACATTTACTTCAGTCTTAAAAAGTCTCTTTAAGCTTCAAAAATCCTTTGATCTTACAAATTACCTGCAGTGGACTATTTTTCCAGTTGAAGTGTGTCAAAAAAAAGCTACGCTAACGCTACATTTGAGTCAATTAAAGGGATTTATTACAAGATTGTTAACATTTTTCTATTTATTTTAGGAATAAAGCCACATCGGGGTCCCAATAACTCTTCAAAATGCCCATGTTAGTGGTATAATCTAGGTGCACCTATATTGCTGTTATTACGGTACTTAATCTGCAAGATGTGGAATAAGACCAGCAACACTTCCACATGAGTGTGCGTTTATGTTTTGCCACACTCATCATGCTGCTGGTGTTCACCGTGCACACACTTCATACACACTTGCAGCGGCTCATTATACTTCAAGCCCCCCCCCCCTCCCCCATGTCTTGCTGAGTCAGTGAAACATAATAATCCTCCGTCTGCTCTGGAGGAGGAAGCAACTAGATTCTGAGTTGTTGCAGGATATGGGACCCTTGACTGTCCTGTTGTCCTTCTTTCAGGATCCATCATCTATTGTTGACTTACTGTCCATGCCGTGTAGAAGCCAGTTTACAAGGCTGTTTACAGTCAACTGAGGAGTTCTTATTTATTTAAATGTCCTTTAAATGTTACTTAACAGTTAAACCTGCTGTTTTTCACGGATAGACGTGCACACATCTTTGTCTTCATGCAGTTTTTGTACAAAATTTTGGTCAAAAAATGAATCAAAGTTTTATACAATATTAGTTTTACCTTACAGTTTGCACGCGAGGAAATTGGTTTCCCAGAGTTGCTTTTTTTGGTTCTTATCCCCCCCCCACAATTAATTATATTTTATCACTGTTTAGAAAAAAGGTACCTTTAAATGTCCCTCTGAGGGAATTTGGTCTAAAGTATCCAATCAGAGAAGATCAAATGTCTATTCAAAACGTCGGACTGCTCAGCAAATTAAGGGCTGATGAGTCAGACATTCATAGGTCAAAATGGTATCATTTAAACTTAATGGACATCAATCTTGGAAGAGGGAAAAAGAGAACTCAGGCTTGATGAAACAGTAGAAGACGTATGGGTAAGAGAAGTGTTAATCAATGATTGGAGGGCAGATACCTAAAGACGGGAAGCAAGCTTATCACCAATGGTTACTTATAGTATAGGTTGACACACACACACAAAGACATACACACACACAAAGACACACACTCGTTCGCTCTCACACGGGGGATTAAGGCCAGGTTGGCCTACTGAGACGGCCTGCCAGGGACTCCAGCCTCCCTCCTAAATGGATGCTGACATTCCGATGTGAGTGGCGCTCCACAGAGGCGTGATGACTGACCCAGATTGGGGTGGGGTTGGTGGCGGGGCGAGACGAGACGAGACGCAGATGGAGATGAGAAGTGAGGTCGGATTAGGGACAGGGTGGGGTGGAGTCGGTGGGGAAGAAGGATGCAGACGATGGAAGGTAGAGTGAAGTAAATCTGAAAGGTGGGGGGGGGGGCATGATGAAAAACAAAAGAAAAAGGGAGGAAATTGAAGAGTCGAGTCAGACGAGCCTCAGGCCTCCTGCCACACCTTCTAGACTTTTCTGTGAGAGATCACGCTGACAGGTTCAATTTAAGACATCAATGCCAAGATGTAATTGGATTTGACGTTCCTTTTTTGGTCTCCTGGTGGTGTTGGTTTAACCCTTTAGAGATCAGGACAATGTTTTGGTTTGCATGCTGAGCAGACGAGGGCTAACAGCGAGACTTCTGGCTAATCATGTTTTTGTTATTGAGGAAAGGCTCATTGACAAAGATTTTACCAGATGTCAAATCAGGAAGTTTGGGTTTGTTAATGAGTTTGTTTTTACCTGTCGTCACCCTAAAAATAAACAAATGTCATTTATTATTTCTCCTCTAATTAAAGGATTATTCCACCGAAACTTCTAAAATAGCTACAAAGCAAAATTAACTCTGAACTGAGAATGATGCCGCGTTAGTAAGTCATGTATCTAAAAACGATGAAAGAGTATTTCCTGTTAATTTACTGTCGTTACAAAATAAATCTAGTGAGAACTTTCTGCCTAAAGTGTTTCATATGTTCGGCAAGATAACCCTGAAACACTTCATCATTTTTCTATAACACAATAAGAATTGTGAAGAGCTACGAGAGAGGTGTAATGTTGGATCACGTTAACCGTAGGAGGATGACAGGGTGTGCCTGGAGAGCAAGGTCCTGAAGGGTAGGCTAACCCGAGACATCAGGATAAAGATAAACAATGAGGCATGGGGAAACAAATGAGGCATTTCCTGTTTTAAAAAATAATACTGTTTAGAATATAACATTTCATATAAACGCTCGTCATGAAATGTGCTTTCTATCACTGACATTTTGGTCCAACTGGGTCAGATTTGAGTCACACAGGTCAAAATACTGGAACCAGTTCTTCTTAACGTACTTTGTTTAAAAAGTGGAGTTGTTCTTTAGCAATTAAGGGAAAAATTCAAATACTGAAGCATAGGTAAACACACTGAGCCAACCTATTGAAATAGTTATTTTGGGCAGATGTGGACACCTGGCATGCATTGTGTTTAATTTGTGAGGGAGCTGCTTTTGCTTTTCACTCGTATTTTGGTGGTGCTTTTTAATCAAATGAAACACAAAGGATTTATGTAAGCAGCCGAGGTTTATGACACCCTTTTTTGTAAGGGCAGCGTGTGAAGTGTGGCATAACGTTGCCAAAACAGCAGCTGAAAGCAGGTCAATGCGATTCAGAGCCGGCATCAGCACAATGTGTCTGCAGGAGCTCCAGTTTTCTTCCTTAGCAACAGCTGGGACCAGACCCCGCCTGTGACGGAGCCCAGGGGCTGAGATTTTCAGTCTCAGACAGTTTGGCCCAGTAGATATATTAGAGTGTCAGTGGGTCTATCTCCTCCTCTGCTCTCCTCTGATCCTCACGTCTCCCCACTGCAGCAGACATTAGCCGGGATCACTGAGAGCCTGTCGTCATGCAAGCGCTGCAGGGAAGAAGAGGAGATAGACTTTGAAAGGGACGAAGAGGGAAGCAAGAGAGAGACAAATGAGCATGGGAGATATTTCACAAAGGATTATGCTAATATTTTAGATCTCTTGCTTTCTTTCTTGTAAAAGATAACTAAGTTTTAAAAAGAAAAGTTAGGGAAATGTTCTTTTTTTTTGACATAAGAAGATACTGTACTCCACTCTCATGGTTAAATATTGTAGCCTGCTGGTTTGTTAGCCTAGCTTAGATTACAGACAGAAAGCAGCAGGACTCTTCTGTCCAAATGGATCCAAATTTGCTTGTTTAAATACATTTTCTTTTTCATTAAAGGCTTTTGTTTTTAGGATTTTTTTTTTTTGTGCATTTCAACAACAACAACAAAGACGAGGTTAGGGTGAGTAAAAAGGGGAACACGAGTTTGGAAGGCGTGCAAGATAAGAGAGTCAAGATGGCAAATCAACATGTGGACAAGAAGGGAGGGAAAGGGCAGCTAAAGCACGTCTAACAAATCTGTGAAAGGTAAGTTACACAGTGGCCGATGGTCACTATCCGAGCAATATATACCATCATGCTTTGCGGTTCAAAGATTTTTTTTTTTTGAGCAGAAAGTGGCGTCAGACTTTTCACTTGCAGAAAATGGAGGTAAAAGAAACGCTACAGTTACTAGAAAAGAAGAAAGGGACCAGAGAAGCGAGCTGCAGGATGAGGAAGGAACCCAATGATAATTTGTTACAATGAAATTAGCCACAGCTGTTTGATGATAATGAAGCTATTTAGCCACCTAGCCTGCCAGGCGAGGCGGGGGCCCCCTGCTAATCTTGTTTAAAAAGCAGCGTTTTGTGTTTCCTCTAGAGGAAAAGGGGGGGGGGGGTGTCCCTTTATGAGGGTACATGCTTGATTAGAATGTAGATACAGTAGTAATGCACACTTGATTGGCTGTTATAATTGGTGGAAAAGAGCTTTTTAAGAGCACTTTATTAAAATCAAAAAAAGTTAAATTAAAAAAAGACAATAGCTGCTGCTTCTCTTTCATGTGGTGCACTTGTTGTCATGGATTTGTGTGTGTGTGTGTGTGTGAAGAAGCACTTTGTTGTGTGAATGGGGCAAGCCTGTCAAACCCATCTGCTGGACCCCCATAAGACCTGGGCTGGTTGCCATAGTAACTGCCTCCTTATCACTGGTGAGGGGGATATGAAGGGTGTGTTCAAAGGCTTTTTTCCCCGCTGCCTGCTGCAGTGAACCAAAACATTTTTGCCTTAATTGGACCATATTTGACAAATATGGATTATGTCGTGTACAAATGTGTTCTTTGTTGTGTTTTGGACGGATGGTACTCAGTGCAAATTCGAATGGGGACATTTCACCTGTTAAGCTCAGAGGGAAAAAAACACTTCAGTCCACTTTTAAGAAGGACTTGCTCTGGCATCCTCTCTTCAAGTGTAAGAATGAATGTAGAATTGATATGGAAATCCTCCTGCCTCCTGTCTTTGCACGTGGATGCTGAGACAAAGACCAGTTAGATGTGCCGGCAGAGAAAAACAAATGTTGCATCTTACTCCCTCTGGTGGCTGATTTCAGCATCATGTGTCTGCTCTCTTTGAGCAACTGCTGCAGATTTGACTCCTCTCATTCTCGAACCATTTACAACCAACTTATCTCCATTTGTCTCCTTTTGCAAAACTCATAATTATCTTCCTTTTCCTTCGCTCCGTCAGGTGACGCGTCCCCTCCCCGGCGTCCCAGCAGGCAGGCATGGCAGACGGTCGACAGCCAGACGAGCACTGGGCCTCAAACGGCCAGGAGAACGGCGAGAATGGCTACTCCGCCTACAGCTCTGCGTACAGGGAGAACGGATACCACGGCGGGGCAGCTGCACACCCTGGAACGACAGGTAGAAACACAGACAGGGTGTGTTTTGCAAGTGTGTACGAGGTACGCATCAGTGGATTACTGACATTGATTGGATGGGTCTGCAGCTGTGGGTAAATCTGATTGTCTCCATGGTGCAAAACAGTCAATCCCTAAAACGGATCCTTTTCTGTAGCGGTGCTGCAGAAGGTAAAAGCCCCTCAAACATGCATTGAACATCCAAGATAAACACCCTGAAGCTCTGGATGAAGAGGATGTAGTTGGCTGAAAGTGAAAAGTTATTAGGTCTTAAAAATGAAACTAGTTTATCATATCATAATGAACAACTCAGAGCAGGAACTGGTTGTAGTATTTTGAGCATTTTATATTAAGGGGGACCCATATTCACCATGAACTTGTTCCATATATGCATGCATATGAGCTGCAATTATGTTTTCTGTGTTTTTCTTTTAGAGCCCAAATTAATGTCTGAGTGTGCATCAGCTCGACTTAAATGTCTTTTTTTTTTTTTTTTTTTCGCTGCTTATTGATGATAACTTTGGAACTCTTTGTACATGAATTACAATGATTTGCTCAGTGTGTCCATGATAAAATTGGATTACCACAATACTGAGCAAAGTTTAAAATCTTAACTCGTGTACAACAACTTTACAACATATTTACAAAAAAACGACATGAGGAGGTAAAGGAGAGAAAACTCTCTGTTAAGGGCGCAGTAGCTGCAGAATATGGCCAGAGCTTTTGTGTTACTGATATGCTTGCTAAAAAAGCTGCAAGTTAACGTAGTGTTTGTGTTTATTTAAATAGTTGTCTGCACAGTCATTAATCCAAGCCTAATTAGAAAAAATAGGGAATCCAGAGGGGTAGAAGGAGGAAGTGATAGTGGAGACAGGTTAGAGTAGATGAAATGGGGAAAATGTCTAGACAGGCTGTCTTTATTCCCACATTTTCCATCATCATTTTTCATGTGAATAGTGTTTTTATCAATGACTTTCATTGATTATATGGTAGATTCTGAATATTGAGTTCTATTTTGTGATTTTGTTATCATTGAACACCATCTGAGGTAAGTTGGTGCTCTGTCTGCTTGCATCTGCACTGGATATTAAGCCCAAACTAGCTTATAATCAAACCCTAGAAGAGCGTGGGATATGCATCCACACACACACACACACACACACACACACACACACACACACACACACACACACACACACACACACACACACACACACACACACACACATACACACACACACACACACACACACACACAGAACATGTATTGTATCAAACGCAGAAGCAAGGCCACCCACAGAGATAAGGTCGGCTCTGTTATTAGCTTTTCATTTCCTTCCTCCCATCCACGTCTTGTCTCCCCTGTGTTGTCTCTCTCTCTCTCTCTCTCTCTCTCTCTCTCTCTCTCTCTCTCCCTCTCTCGCTCCCTCTCTCTCCCTCTCTCTCCCTTCGCAGTGGATGACTCAGCCAATTTGCCTCCCTCCCCTCCCCCTTCTCCATCCGCTGAGCAGATTGGGCCTGTGGCACAAGGTACACCTACACACACTCCTGACCGCTCCGCCCATTCAGGATGAGAGAGTGAATGGTGCAGAGAGTGGTTGGAAACATGTCAAAAAGGTCACAGCTTTAAGGGTGTCATAAGATCAGGAAAAACATGGCAGCCCACTCGCATGGTTAGAAAAACTTCTCCTCTTTCTTTTGGTCGCCTATTTGTTAATCTCGAGTGGTCACTTTCTCTTTGCATGTCAGCTTCTCGTCATATCACCTTTGAGGAGACACCTCACACACCTTTTTATTTTAGTCATAACAGCTCAATAGCCGCTTTCTAACACATAATAGTATGTTATTTGAGAAAACACTGCATATCATAGCTAGAAAACACACACTTCCTTCTGCTCAACCTGCCACTGGAGCCCTTCATCTCACTAATCCGCTTCCCCCCTTCAGATCATCTCCTCTGTTGTTCCTTTCTTCATTCTGTGTGTTGATTTTCTCAACGAGTAAATCACAGATTGACTTTCAGCTCTTTATCTCCCAGAGAACAGCGCAGTCTGTTTTTCTGATCGTTCCCTTTTTGCATGTGGCATGCAATCATCAAACTGTAGAATCAGATAGTCCCACTGCATGGTTTCAGATCTAATGCTATATAATTATAATCAACAGAAGAATTACATTTTATACTGTTAAAGATTTGTAGTGAAAAATTGGATATGTTTCAAAATGAGTTGCAAACATGTTTAGGTTTTTATTAAGGGATGAAGTCGGTTGTTACTACAACTGTATTTAGATGCACTGAGTATTGTTTTCCTTTTTTAGATGAATGTGATCCATTAATCTATGAAAAGTAAACCAGGAGGTGTTTGATTGCATCACATGCATCTCCATCAAAGCTGAAAGTGTCTTTAACCACAAGTAGAGTTGTTCTGATACCAAAGAAAAAGATCGGAAAAGCCTCTTATACTGAAATGTCACTCGTTCCCTTCTTTTTGAAACATCAGTTAATTGGAAATAATATATGTGTGTGCATAATAGCTGCCATTAGAAACTTCTATTCGTGTCATATCCTGAGTTTAGTGCATAGTAACACCCTGATTTACCAATAAAATTAATATATTTTTAAGGCTCTTGTATCAGAAGGTACTCAGTAACAGCAAATACTCGACTAGGTATAAGAATCTGTATCAGGAAGAAAAAATGGTATCTGAACAACTCCACTTGTAACCCATGTAAACCCAGTGTTATTGTCCTACATGTCTCATCTATGTGTCTCCCTCCCCACTCCCCTCAAAGAAGATATAGTAGAGGTTGTCAGTCAACAAGAGGAAGAGGAGGAGGCTCCAGAGGAGCCCCAAAGTTACCCAGAGGAGGTGGCATATGAGCAGCCTGGAGATTTGCTCTTAGAGCAGACAGATTATTTATCAGAGCCCCAAGCTTTGGGCTGCCAGCAAGCCCAGATCCCTGAGGTCCTCAATGGAGGAAGTCATCCAGTTGAACAGAGTCCATCACAACAAGGTGTGTGTGGTTTCATGGGTTTTGCATACTTCCAATCTCATTGTGTGATTTTATGATATGTGAGAGCAACTGTTGATCCTTCATCTATGAAAGTGTGTTGAGGTGAATGCTACTAAAACTTTCCTCTCCTGATTTCTGAACTGTGATTGTTTTTCGAGCCTTGCTGCTAACCCTCCCGTAGTTTCTTGCTTCTAAATCCTTCAGCTTCTGCTGCAGTACTTCAAGTTGCCATGTGCAGAATAAAGTGGCATAGCAGTTAGATTTTTGTGCTTTTTCATGCAAACATAACCATTTGCTTTTCATTTGGAGCAACATAAGAGCACCAGATCAACCATACTGTAGTTGATCATTTCTGCACTTTTGTATTGCCAGCTACATTGCAAACGCAAATATCACTGTCTGAACTGTGGAGCATTGTAGACTTGAGTGTTGCAAGAACAAGTTGTCTGTATATCTTTCATGTGGGTTCTGCTTAGATATTGTGTGCAAGAGTGTTTCTGAGTACACCCACCTGCAGGGGGACATTGTGAATGTATTTTAAGTCTGTTGTATTTCACTTGCTTTGAGTTTCAATGTTGTTTTCATTTCATGCAAAGGCAAATGATTATTTTGTTTTCCTATTGTTCCTCAAGGCAAACTTTGGGCAATAAATTCCAGCCTTATTTGGATTGTATCATCATCCTTCTCTATATTAAAGAATAAATAATATCCCCAATAAATTCACATCACAGTATTTTTGCGCCTTAGTAGAAACTGTGATAACACCATCAACATTTAAAAACATCTAATAAATCTTAATCATCAGTTTGACCGCATTACAATAGGAATTAAATTGATGTTTGAAAATGTAGTTCTTATCATCTAACATCATGCAACTCATTCCTTCATTCCAGTTCTGCACGCTATCTAAGGTGCTGTAAACCTCCCCTGTGCTGTTGTGGCCTGCTGCAAAAGACACTACGCTGTGTGTTTTGCTTGATGGAGAGCTACTGTATCTATGTGCAGAGGGCCTCGGCTTTACTGTATTGGCTGGCTTTTGTGGATGCTTCAAGCAAAGCTTTAAACTAATGTGCCCTAGCACAAGGTTGTACAGTATCCTTCAAACTCACAGACCAGCCAGAAGAACATGTCAGTAAGGCCTCGTGTGAGTCTGCTGTGAAAGAAGAGGAAACTCAAGAGGCATCCATTCGTCAGGAGTGTACAGTTGCAACAGCTGAGGGAGAAGATGTTGCCTCGATTGAACCTCACTCCACATCAATAAAAGACAAAGAGCTCTCTGAAACCTCCTCAATTGAGAAGGGTACCCAAGAGGAAAAGGATATAGTAGAAGAGTCTGCAATGACTCACTCGCTTATGGAGTCTGAAGCAAAAGAAACAAAACAACCTTCACTTGCAGAAACGTTGCCTAGCTGTGAGGAGGAAGAAAGTGAGGATAACATCCTAACAAGCAAATCAGAAACTTGTGAAATCAAAGAATTAGCAGGGACAATAAATAAGGAATGTCAAGATAGCAGCATGGACAATACGTTGGATAAGCCACCAGTGACTGACATTTGTAAGCAAGATAGCATCAAAGCAGGTCCAGAACTACTTACAGAGGTCAAAGACTCATCAGCACCCGAAACTGGCGCAAAATCCTACTTTGAGACATCAAAAACCCATGAAGAAGATTCTTCACAAGCCCAGAGCTATTACGAACTCAGCACAGCGACAGAGACACACTTAACAGGTGAAATCAAGAGCAATTTGCAGAAGCCTGAGGAAAAGCAGGAGGCGATTCAAAAAACAACTTCTGGTGAGATGACATTGGAACAAAGTATTTCCTTAAACATTAGCGTTGGGTCTTCGGCAGGGCTCACGGTGAAGGGAGAGAAGACAAAAGCCCTTTCAGAAGGTCCAGTTAGTGGAAGTTTTGATGAACCTGAGGTATACCCTTCGACACCATCAGTGGAAAGCCAATGTCAGTTTCCTCCATCTGTTACCATAACACAAACTACCACTGAGTCCTTTGAAGATGTATCCAACAACGAAGAAAATACTTCTATTTCTAGATTTGAACGTACGGGCAGCCTCTCTGAGATGTTGGACCTGGCTGGAGCCCTTCCGTCAATTGAGAGGAAGGAGCTTGATCACATGAGACGAAAGTCCATGCCTTGCAATGTCTCCGCTTTGGTAGAGAGATCTTTGGCCAAGCTTGCCTTGGGGGATCAAACCTCGGAAGAGGTAGGAGAGGAAAGCCAGCTAGAGGAACTGGGCTATTGTGTCTTCAATGAGTACTCAGGGCCTATGCCTTCTCCAGCTGATGTACCAAGTCCAGGAGACTCCCCGCACCAGCGTTTTCCCTCTGTAGAGAGTGAGGTCGAGGAGGAACTTGGCACAAAAGTAGTTGAGGATGTTCAAAAGGCAGAGCAACAAGAAGATCATAAAGGAACTGTCCCTGAGATTGCTCAAAAAATAGTGCTTGAAAAGAGAGATACACCAGTAAAGTCTTCCTTGATTCTTGAAAGAGCTGTGCCAAGCGGAATAAAACCTGATCGCCTAAGAATACCGATGACTTCTACAAAAGACAGACTGACTGAGTTTCGTTTGGAGACAGGCCTACCTGGTGACATACAGATCCAAGCAATCCCTGAGGTAGATGTTGAAAAAGACCCCTCGAGAGAGGCATCTCCTATCCCACCAGACATCTCCTTTACTTTCAGTTCTTTGGAAACTGGAATCAGAACTCCAACACCCAGATCCCCAGATGATACAAAATCAGAAACCCAAGCCACTGAACTGAAGCCAAGGAAAGATGACTTACCAGAGGACCAGGGAAAGAACGAGCCAGAGTCTGAGGGGACTGATCATAGAGCCACCAAGTTAGAAATGGAATTGGAGAAATCTGTATGGAAGGAATTGAAGGAAACCAGTGAGGACCAAGAAATGGAAAACCAAAACATACCTTTACCATATCGGTCTTCAGTAGAGGGCACAGAAACAGGTGACGGTGGGATACCTGTGAGATTGGATGGAAAAGAAAAGCAAGAAACCCCCACAGCTGGTCAGGATTTAAGCACTGAAAAGCCCTTTGAAGATAAATTGAAGTTACCAAAAGATAAAAGTTCACCAAAGCTAACAATATCCTCCCCAATTATCATCATACCACAAGCCCAAGTAGAAGAAGAAGAAGAAGCAGATGAAGACGATGATATTGAGATTGCTGAAGAGCCTCAAGAGATGATGGAGGAACCTGAAGTGCCTGTGCTCTCCAAGAAAGATAAAGCAATAGGAGATATTGGGACGGTAGAGCAAAAGACAGTACAGGTAACGCTGATGGTAGAGGATCAGCTGGTGGATGAAGATCCAAAGTCTGGAGCAGAAGAATGGAGTCATAGTGCCCACAACAGTGATGGGGAGCCTGCCACGGACAGTTCACACCTGTCTCCATGCTCAGAGCATGATCAAGCAGTTGAAGGTGGTAGAGAAGATGGAATGCAGGAGGCTAAAGTAGCACATATAAGTAAGGATGAACAGAGTGAAGATAAGGTTCAGTTGGTAGAAAAGGACCAACTACTTGGGGAAGAAGTGGAGGAAGTTTGTTCCGATAAGGTACTTGAAGAGAGAGAGTTCAAAACCAAAGAAGATGGTAACAGGGAAGAGAGGTTGGGTAAGGATGGGGAGGAGAAAGACATTGAGATTGGTCAGGAAGTGGAGGAGACCTCAGACGTTTCCTGCCAAGTGGCTAACGATGAAACCACTATGGACGTCTCCATCCTAGATACAGACAGTGGCTGGATTGACTCACAAGGTACCCAGAACTTATCAAATTAATGAATTACTCACTTGTTAAATAAACATTTAATGTTTACCAAAGATATTTTTGTAGCAAAAACTATCTTAAGACTCCTTGATAGTCAATTTAAATGTGTCTTTTGTACTAAGCTAGCCGCTAACTAGCTAGCAATGTGGAGAGTTAGCCCTCTTTTAACCCCTCTTCACTGCAGATGATGACAAAAGTATCGTGACAGAGCAAATCGAAGCCCTTCCTCAGATCCAGAGTCCTACCATTGCACCTGTGGTGGACAAACCCGCTAAACGGGCCCCTGGCAGAGGAAGGGGCCGTCCTGGTGTTACTGAGGGTAAAGTGTTTCGAAAAGGACCCAGCCAACGTCCACCAAGAGAGGAGATCAAGAAGAAAAAAGGTTCAAAATGTATTGTTGGCTAAAAGCAATTTGTGTACCCCTCTTGAACTGATGTAACTTTCTATTTGTACTCAGCAGCAAAGTTACTTCGTGTTTAGCACAGATTTGCTTCTCTGCAACCAAATTTGTTTGACTTGTTGGTATAATTCTGTCTCTCCTCTTCAGTAGTCGTGAGGAGGGTTGACCAGAATAAGGTGTTAGCCCTCCAAAGTCGTTCTCCATCTCGAAAGAGTGTAGCCAAAGTGGCGGCCAGACATCCTAGGCCTGCTCTGCTTCACGGCTCTGCTAGACGCAAGGCCACAGGTGAACACTCTTCACCAGGGAATTGGTGCCGTGATAGAGAGAGAGCAACAAAGTGTTAATGTGAACAATGCAACCTTTCTCCTAATATTTGAAGACTGGTTTTGTCTGCATAAAATCACCAAAAGCTTGAGGATACAAATGTTGCAAACTAATTCCCACATGACAGTACCAATTTGTTCAGAGGTGTTTTAAGGTTTTGCCATTTTGCCCTCTCTCTATTGATGGCCTGTTGAGGAATCAAGAAGGTGCAATGTAGCTGGCAAACATCATGTGCTGCTTGCCCATGTAACATGTCATGTTTTTTTTTTTGTTTGTTTTTTGACTCTATTGCTCTGTCTTGTTTATTTTTTGGTTGTTTTTTTTCCCCATTTTATTTCTGTCAAACATGGAGTTTGTTCTCCTGCTTGGCCTCATAATCATGTTTATTTCTGCTCACTTTCTGCCAATTGAATGAAAATATGCTGATCGTCAGTTGCATGTCGAAGGTTGTTTGTGTGCTCAGCTGCTGTGAAAGGGTTTACAAATGAGTGACGGCTGCTTATTTAACGTCTATAGAGGTTGTTTCACTGATTCTGACAATCTGGGTGCTGTTGCAACACTACAGCAAACACAGTGCAGCAAACACTTTATGCCTTTGGACTGTTAGAGTACAGGTATGAATGTCAATGTGTGGTTTTTCGCTGTGAAAATACACGCTACTAAATGTCTCCTCTTGCTGGTTTACATTGGTCATTACAGCTGGATTCTTTCTTCATAGGTATGGAAAGCCATCAGCCCCTCAGCGTGGCCCACCAGTCCAGGGAGAGGACCACTGTAAGTAGTGCTATGCCAATCATCATTCCTGTTTGTGTTAGTGTCTAAATGAAGGTTTATGTGTGTGTACAGTATTACTCTCTCTCGTGGGATTTGTTGCATGAATCATTTAATAATCTCTTTTTCAATTATGCATGCATGTGTTTGTTTTTTAGTTCTATGTTGCATTTTTATTTTTTTCTTGCATGTCTGCCTCTTTGCTTGCCCCATTCCTGGCAGAGAAAATCTGTGAGTATGAATGAATATATGCAAGAGAAGTCAGACAAGGTCATGTGCATGTTTTTCTCCTTGCGCTTAAAAAGTGAAGCAAGGTCAAAGGGGCTCTCGCAAACCACCTCCAACCACTGTTCCACAAATGTTGTCTTTTTCTGACTCCATTTCACTCCACTCCACAAGTTCCATCTTTTCATTCATGTCCTTTGTTTAAACATCTCATAACTTGTCTAGTGTTCCTTAAAAATCATCATTAAGTCACACATGACCTTCACTTCTTAATGTTCAGCTGACAACTTTGCTTAAAACACATACAGGTACATTTCATCTCCATTCCATCCCATCTCAAACTTCTCCATCTGTTTGTCACCCCATCCTGCTCTCTGGCAACATCTTCCCTCCATCCTGAATCTGCATGCTTCCCCGCCTCGTGTCCTGGCTTTTGGTCCAGAGTCCCACACGGGCTGTTCTATTAAAGCTGGCAGTTCAGCGCCGGGCGGCTGAATACCCGCCTCCCAGGCCCAGCTCTGCCTGTAGCGTTAAACGGAACGCTCCAGAGGAGGCGGAGTTCAATGAGGCCCGCCCTGCCTCAGCATGCGCCCGCAAGGCCCCTCTGCCAAAAACAGTTCGAGAGCAGGTAAAAAGAGGGGACATTAAAGTAGTAGGTAGCTGGTAGCAAAGAACAAATGACCACGCACTGACTAAGCAATGGCCGAGCAATAACCAGAAAATGGCCTCACAATGATCAGGTGACAGCCGAGCAATGGCCCGTGCTTTACTAAGAAGCTACCAAAGAATGACCACACAGTCATCAAGTGACAACTGAACAAATCCCAGGCCATGACGAGCAGTGACCAAGCTATGAACAGGCTATGACCACAAAAAGTCCAGTGACCACCCAGGGACCAAACAAAGACCAGTCAATTAACAGACCATGACCATGCAGTAACCATGCAATGATCAGCTATGACAAAGCAATGATCAAGAAACGACCTGTGAACGACTAAGCAATAACCAAGCAATGACGACGAGTGTTGTATTTGTGTTGACATTTTATAAATGTGTGTTCGTTCAGGAGAGAGCATACCGCAGCCCCGAGAAAAGGTCGTCCCTGCCCAGGCCTGCCAAGTCTCTGACGCGCCACATCCCTGCTGCTGAACAGGACGACAACAGCACCCCCTCCAGGCCAACCTGTGAGACTACACACACATTTACAGCACAGCTTGTTTTGCCTCCAGAATTAACTCACTTTCCCCTTGTACTAATGACTTTACTCAGACACTTTATTGTTTATCATTTTATTCAATTTTAACTCCTACCACCTTACACCCTCTGCCCTTTTATTCTCCTGATTTCTTTTTGCTTCTTGCTCTTTCATTTTACCTCTTCCTTCTCAAAGCGTTCCAGTCCAGAGCGGACAACAGGTCTGGAAGAGCCACAGGTATGGCGGGTAGACCACCTAGTAGCTCATTTTTGACCCATAGCTCTCCATATTGGAAAAGCTAACCACAGTGGCTTCATTTGATGTCCAAATTGTGATTTAAGGTGCTTATTTTAGGGGGTTAAAGTTTATACATATTGCAAAATCTGACTCAAAATTAGTCAGTCTGGAGTGAATTAAGTGTCAATTATTCATGGGATAATAAATCTTGGATGATGGGAAGTAAAACTGATGGGGAAAGTATTATTAACTGAAGTAGAAGAGTGAAATTAGAAACATTAAGACTTAAAATGTGAAATCATTAGAAAGAAGTTGATTTTGCAAGCTTGTTTATTCAGCTTTGATTCTAATTTAGTCCAACTTCTCAACAAATCCATCTTACCAAACCTGCAGTTACGTCATCAGAGAGCAGGTTGGAAACATAACAACAAGGTGCTACGTGCTCCTCTAGAATCCCATTTGTCTTACACCAGTATCCCAGCAACAAGAAGCCACCTGTGTTCAATGCATCCAGCTGCCTGTGTGTGTTTTCACACTCCTTTGTTTAACCTGTGTTGTTTGTTTAGTGGAGCTTTCACAGCTCCATGTGTCATTTCTCCTCATCATGAGAAAGCAGATAAAGCTCACCACTCTCTAATTCATCTGTTGCTCTGATGTTTACTTTCTATTTCTGTCTTCCTGTCTTGTTCCATCTGTCTGCCTTTTTCTGTCTCTAAAAAAAAAAAATTACTCTCATCATTGTAATCTCTTCTTTTCTCAAGGCACAGAATCGGCTCGTTCCCGATCGGTCCGCAGCGGCGCCTCCACCCCTGGCTCCACCGCCGTCACACCCGGCACACCCCCAAGTTACTCCTGCCGCACTCCTGGCTCACGCACCCCCGGCAGCCACACGCCCAAGTCCTTCAGCGTCCTCCAGGAGAAGAAGGTGGCGGTGATCCGAACCCCGCCGAAGTCCCCGTCCTCCGCCCAGCGGCAGCTGAAGGTCCTCAATCAGCCCCTGCCTGACCTGAAGAATGTAAAGTCCAAGATCGGGTCGACATCCAACCTCAAGCACCAGCCAAAAGGCGGACAGGTAACATGTCATCAAAGCAGGGAGTCACACACTTCATTTAAAAAAAAAAAAGCAATGCATTTTCTAAATTCTGCCACAAGGGGGCAGCACAGATAAAGTTATACTATTCATTTTAAATACACTCAATATTTAAGTGTATTTAAAAAGCTTTAAATATTGATCTTTCAATATTCAATACATATAACATATGCGTAGCTTGGTGTGTGTTTGAGTAAGTGGATTTTCTTGTGTTTACATATTTTTATCATTCACACCTTGATTAGAGTACTGGTTAAAGATAGATATTAATACACTACTAATCAAAAACACATGATGTCAAAAAGACACATAGAAGTGATTACATTTCATGCATCAGACTTAAAGCTTTAAAAAAGTATTCGATTAAAAATGTGACTCCACAGTGAAGCGTCCATTGACAGATACAGGCACACTGGTATCAGCTTCTGCAGAGATAGAAAATGGAAGTGTTGAAAGTGATTTATCTGTTGTCTTTTTTTTTCCTCTGCTGTGAGTTATAGAAATGTCAGACAATGTTCAAATATCTCTCCCCACATCGTCTCGCTCACTCACTGTCTGCCTCCAAAGCCGCCGTCTCTTCCTCCAGCTGTCCTCTCTCCCTCTCTGCTGTCAGTCCCGATGAACCGTCACCGGCTGCCTCCGGCCTCTTCCCCTGACTTTCCCTTTTGTCTTCCTTCTCCTTTTTTTTTTTTTTTTACCTCTGTTTAAGGTCCTCCATGTCTACAAAAAAGAATGCACAACAAGCCATATGTGACGTCTGAGGAGCAAATTTACACAAACGATAGCTCTCCTCCTAAGAATGTTCCTCACAAGGTAGACTCAACCTGCAGAATAATGGCCCCGGGGATCTGCTCTCGTCAACACTGTGCAGGAATTTCCCTCCGGCTCTGAGTATTAATAATTGCAGGCAGTCTGAATTACTTATTGAGAAGTTGCTTCAAGGGCAAAGAATGGAAAATATATCACCTACAGTCACTTTTAGACTCTTATTTTATGGTTTCAAACACATCACTTGAGCGCCACATCCCCAAAAAGAACCAGGAGAGTTCAAATTCCAATTAACATGTTTTTAAGAAGTACTCATTTTGAAAGGTAAATTAAAAGACGTGTAGACTTACAGAAATATGTATCACATCACCACGGCAACAGACAGAGGTGAGACCTTTAATTAACCCTGTGATGGATGGAGGAGTTGAGGGTTTTCCCCCCCCCCCAGCTCTTCTTTTCCTTCTTTGTGGAGAAATGTGACATCGGGCAGAGCAGAAATTTTTAATGAAGCTGGGTGACTCACGGCTTGAAGGAGCAGCACGAAAGGCCTTGTGAAGGACGGTCTGTGATGAACTGCAGCTCAGCAACGCACAGTTTGAAGCTCCGATGTCACGTTGGAGGGATGATTTAGAGACCTTTGACTTCAAAAAGTCCAATTCATTTGATACTCCGGACCCTTCCCCTGTGTCATAACACTGAATGACAGTGTAAAGAACAAAATCTAAACTTTAGTGAATATTTTATTTGTACTAACTCTGTATTTATATTTTTATATATTGACTCTATTGTTTTATTTTTCAAAGAAGGCTGAAAAAAACATGAAATATCTCCGTCAGAGGTAACCAAGGCGACCGGAATCATGGTGTCGTATTGCATCGTATAAAAAATAACATGCAAGAGTCGAGACCAGTGACATTATTTTATTATTATTCTTCAATGCAGCTTGTGACTCATGCTCTGATTGTCCTTACCTGGAGTCATGATGTCATCTGTTGTATGTTATAAACGGATGACACAGATAATAGTTTTAGTTTGATTTATTGTTGGGTTTAGTGCTTTGTCATTGCTTGACCTTGCAGCTGTCTGTGCTGCTACAGCTACAGGCGAGGGAGGAAAAGAAACAAGCAAAGAAAGTGTGTGTCTGAGTGCAGGTTAGAGAAAAGCTGTGAGGAGAATCCAGGTCAGGTCAGTGTAGACTGTAGTGGAGGCTCGCTGTCAGGGCTCTGTATGTTTTTCCTCGAACCTTTCCATCTTCCCTCCTATTTGAAATTGCATTTGTAATTAGTCATAGGTGTATCATATATTCAGTGTCACACTAAGGTTTAACTCTACTAATGAGATTATTTTCGCGTTATGTGAAGCTCTGATTTTCTTTTGCACAAACTGAACATTTATATTTATACAACATTTATACAACATTAGAGTTTATACAACATTAGAGTTTTTTTTTTTTTTTTCTACAAAACATGTTGCTGGTAGGAAGCCAGGGAAGGATCATGCTTTTGTTTGTGCAACTCTCCTCGCACCAAAACAGACACTTTGGAAAGTCAAGATGCAATTTGAGCCGATCAGCATGGAGATCTTCTTAGAATATCTAAATGTACATTCTGATCTTAACACATGGCGTTGCACACTTATTGGCCATGGGTAATGTAACAAACATGGCGACATACAAGGCGGTATTTCTGTTGATTCTCAGATCTCGGCAGAAGTTGCATACTTTTATCAAAAAAAAACGTTTCTTCAAAACTTTCCGCCATTGTTGTAGCGGCTCTCTGGTGTCTCCAATGTTGTAACATCCGACCTCATCACCATAACAACCCTACACTGCTCCTAGTGGTTATATGCATCAAGGTTGATGTCATGCATTCACGCAGTTAAAAACCATTTTACCCAGGGTACTTTAGTGGGACATTTGTGTGCATGTAAACATAATCAGTGAATCCTAAGGAAAGAGACAAACAATCCTATCTAAGCCACCAACATTCCCAGCATTTTCTACATAAGCACAAAGCTCATTCATAACATATTCAATATAAAAATGCATGTTTCGACACTTTGATAGCTCACTTTTGCAAACAAGGCACATATAGATTTTTCTTTTTTTTTTATGACCCAATTTTGTTTTAGGTTCAAATTTTACACGAGAAGGTGGACTTCAGTCATGTTCAGTCAAAGTGCGGCTCCAAGGATAATCTGAGGCACGCGCCCAAAGGAGGCCATGTATGTACGCCTTTTCTCTTCCTTTTCTTTTCTTTCTTCCTCTTCTTCTTTTTTTTTTTCAGCTGGATCTTTGAGACTTTCTCTCACGCTGCTTTTATATGTTCATCTGTCTTCACATCTGCAGGTTTATTTCCTAAGTGCAAGATGTCCATGTTACATCGACAACAGGATGAAAAACTCTACAAGTTCTCCTCTGAAACATGATTTTAGTTTGTGCAATTGAAGTATTTATTGTGTTGTTCTGATGTAGCATGGAAGATGTTGCACTTGGGAATTAAAGCCAAATATGCTTCAGGCTGCTTTAACAACTCTGCTCTAAAAAAGAAAAAAAAAAAAAAAAAACAGGGACAAGATCAAGACTCGATGGCTGCAGCGCTGAACGAGCACATTTCCTCAGTCTGATAAATGCCTCTGAAAAGAGCTTCATCTTCTTTTTCTTTTTTTAAATTCTAGATCAGTGTCCAATTCAATTCTCCTCGTGCTAAAGTGAGCGCCGGCAGATTGATAAGTCGTGGATTTAAAATTGGGACACTTTTGGGGGATTATTTCGAGCATGAAGGGGAGGGAGGAAGTGGGACATGTTTAAGCTCCCCCTCGATCCAGTTTTGAGAAACCGACATGGTGATCCTGGGAAAAAAAAAAAAAAAAAAAAAAAAATAGAAAATGTTTCTGTCATTCTCAGGTCATGATCCCGAGTGTCAAACTGGACTTCAGCCACGTTCAGGCTAAGTGTGGCTCCCTGGACAAGATCCAGCATGCGGCGGGAGGCGGAAACGTGAGTGACTCAGCAGAAAAGCACTTTGAATTCAAATTTAATATGTGTTTCATGCTCGACAAACAGTGTCTGTGCACAGTGTAAACACAGCAAGCCGGGATGTCTCCTTGTCTTTTTAACTGTGTTTGTACTCACCATAATTCCTATCACCCATGGACAATTAAGTTTAATTGAAGCACCTGCTCACCGTAGCATCCTGTGGAGCCTGTTTGCTGTGTGGCAGTTCCTTCTACACCCACCCCCCCCCTCCCTTTCACTGGAACTGAAATCTCTTCTGCAGATGCCTCTGATCGACCCAGTATGCCCTTATCTTCAGATTTGCCTTGTTTATTTCAAATATTTTGTGTTTCCCTGTTGCTACCTGCAGATCCAAATCCAGACCAAGAAGATCGACTTGAGCCACGTCACCGCCAAATGTGGCTCCATGTCCAACATCCGCCACAGACCAGGTGCTGAACGACAACAGCTGTAGCTCTTAATTTCTGAAAGGAAACTTAAGAGTGAAACTTTCTCCTCTTCTCCTCTCAAAATCATTCATATACCGTTGGGTACTCTTGATGCCTCTCGGGTTTGACACTTTTCTTCTCCCCCTGACTGTCCTGTCCCCAGGCGGAGGCAACGTGCGCATTGAGAATGTGAAGCTGGACTTTAAAGACAAGGCCCAGCCCAAGATCGGCTCCCTGGGCAACACCAGCCACACTCCTGGAGGCGGGAACGTCATGGTAACAAACGAATCAAATGAATACAAATATGTGTCGCTCAGAGATTCTTTAAAGGAAACATGCCTGATTTGACCTTTTTCTCCAGATCGAGAGCCACAAACTGTCTTTCCGTGAAACAGCCAAAGCTCGGGTGGATCACGGCGCGGAAATCATCGTCACCCACTCCCCCGGCGTCGAGACGGGTGGCACCTCCCCTCGTCTGTCCTCCACCGGCAGCATCAACCTGGAGTCACCGCAGCTCTCCACGCTGGCCCAGGATGTCACCGCCGCCCTCGCCAAACAGGGCTTATGAGCTGTCTGCTTCGGCCCCTTCCCCCCCTTTAAAAAAAATCCACACCATCACTTCTCCTCCTCCTATCATTCACTCATCCAGTGTTCTCCCACGGTCCTTAAATGCAACATGACACCTACTCTCGATCCCACAGTTGTAGTTGATCGACTTTCTCGTCCATCAACGGCTTTTCCATTCCTTCCAGCAAGATTTTAGAAACGGAATCATTCTCCATTCACTCCCTTAAAAAAAAAAAAGAAAATGCCCAGCCACTCCTTTATTTCTTTTTAATTATTTCTTTCCACTGAAATATGGGATTTTTTTGTTTTGTCCTTCCTAGCTTGATTGTAAGGATGTTACGATTTGAGTGGGTGTTTCTGTCTGAGAAGGCATTGAGCGGTTTTTACGATTGTACAGTGTTTTTTTTTTTTGTTTTTGTAGCTTGTAAAGCATCACGTCCCACTCCAATAAAATCAACTCATATATTATCTCCATCCAGAATTTAAAGGATGCAAGATACAGCGTCTTAAAGCTACAACCGCGCGAGTGGACATGCCGTGTTTCTGCTCCTGCAGAAGAATGGCTGATTAGCATGTATGCTAATGTGACGACATGAATTCTGTTGGTTGGTTGGTTCATGATTTTCTGATATGTGCTGAATTGTTGGACAAATTGTGTTTTCTTTTTATATATATGTCACTGTAGTGGAAGTTGTTACAGTTTTTTGTACATTCCCTGTGGCTGCACTGGCTTATTAGCACGTAAGCTAATGCAGTTGTGTTGCTAAAAGGCTAGCTTTTCAATAGTTCTTGTTAATGCAAACCAATTGGCTGCTCTGTTTGTTCGGTTTCTACATTAGCTCTGTGATTTTATTAGGCTACAACGATGCTGTTATGCTGGCATGGCAAATACATGATACATAAATTAGATCTATTTGGAGCACTCTTAAACTTTTAAGCCTGAGTGGATGCATTTTAGTTTTCAAGGTCAGATACACAGATTCCCTAAAAGGCTCTGTGACATTTTTCTTCTTTTTTTTGCAGAGTTGTGCAATGTTTCTTTGAACGGGCGACTAAGCCAAAAGTTAAGTTTAAAAAGTGGAAGCTTTATATGAAAACATTCCAGTGAAAGAGCAGCTACCTGGCCCTTTTTTGTAGGACAAAACTTTTCTGGAAGTGAAAGCAGAAATCACCCTCAACCTGCAGCTGTTAGAAATCCTATTAAAGATGTTAAATAAAAAAAAAACAACTAATTTCTCTGCTCACCATTGTACAACTCCTCTGCCTCCCCGTCCACCTCCCCTGATGTCGGTTATACCTCTAGTGTTTTCTGTGCTTCCTATACGCTCGCCTCCCTCCTCCTCCCCCCCCCCCAGTCCTACATTTTGCCTGTGTAAGTGTATTTAAAAGACCTTGTAGATGTGTGCACACTTTTCCGATGTTTGAGACATACTGATGACAAATGCTCCTACAGGATGAAACAGAAATAAAGAAAATAAAAACTGATTCACTCTCTTGTCTTGTATAATTTTTGAGAAAATAATTGCCTTTCCTTCAAAATGTATCTACTGGTGTAAATGCTTGCGAATAATTTAACTACCTGTTAAAAAATGTTTTTTTTATATTTGTGGCTGGTATGCAGGGGATTTTTTGTTTTTTACATAATTACAATGAAGCTGCACTGACATACTGTTTTAGTTTGGCTATAACATTTTTAAAATTGTAGTTTTTTTTGTTGAGGGGAATTCCTCTACTTTGTATTTTTTTTTTTTTTTTTTAAAGAAAAAAACTTATTTTCCACTATTGTACTTTAATTTTCCATTTAAATTAACAATGCTAAGTTGGCTATCAAGTGCCAGTGGTGGTTGAGGCGTTAAGTTCCGTATTTTGCGCTTTAACTGGGTTTTGTCTGCAGAATTTACACTACTTTTCACTAACATGTAGTCTACAGAAGTTATTCATTTTGAAGGCTGAGCAAATGAAAGCAGCACCATTTACCAAAATTAATTATCACAATTTAAAATGACGCTCTCTCACTTGACACACCTCAACCTTAATTGTGGTATCTTTTCTAGCTATGACTACCTTGTCCACCACCTGGGTTATGAAACAACCTGTTGATAGTCAAATGGCGGATTATCCCTCAGGTGAATGCACCATCCGGGTGCGTGTGTACAGCTGTTAATAGCATTTCTTTTAATGTAAGAATTGAGGAACATCTGTCCCAGCTGCACACTGCGTCTTTAAGCTCCGCCGACAGTAAATTAGCACGTCGATCAACTGTCGCTGTCCGGTGAGGGTGGTGCTGAAATCAGAGCGCTGTCTCCCTCTCCTTCTCCACCAACCCACTCACCCACCCTCTTCTCTCTCTCTCTATCTCTATCTCCCCCCCCCTCTCTCTCTCTCGTCTCTCCCCTGTCTTTCTATCGCCGCCGATCGACCGACACTTGCAGCCATTTTCCGCAGAACGAACCCAATCATGTCGTGAGGAGAAGCTCGCTGGTCACCTGGGCAGAGCCAGCAGCCAGCGCCGCGCGTCCCGGTGGTCGCACACAAGCGGGCGGGTAGGCAGGAAGGCAGGACCCGGTCAAAATGGTGAAGAGGAAAAGCCTGGACGAGAACGAGCCGGAGTGCGGGAAAGGAATACCGTTTCCCATCCAGACCTTCCTATGGAGGCAAACCAGGTTAGTGCAAAGCATCAGTGGCAAATGATAACAGGTGTTTGGCATTGCTGGAAATACGGAGGATCATTGATATGACAGCAAGCGGTGTCTGATACATGAAATGACATCTGCATTTCTAACCCTAATAGGCGGTCAAACAGATGTTTCGTGTTCTTCTAATTCAAGCTGTGTATATGTGAGGAGAGAGTCAATTTGATGTATTAAATAGAGGGGGAGGCTGCATGTTCATTGCAAATGTGAAGGGCTGAAGATTGCATGATGTCACACCTGTAAGACAAATTAACACTGCAAGTGGGCCAAGGGAAAATAAACATTCTGTGGATTATCTGCAGTGAATTGGATGGTAGCGCATGTTTTCTTGATGACATTGAAGGTTTAACCTTCATTTATGTTATTAAAATCTCACTGGAGCATGTTATTTATACGTTTCAGTGCATTTCTGCGTCCAAAGTTGGGAAAACAGTATGAAGCATCTTGCGTGGTAAGTAATTTCATAATGCAAATGTGCATGATGCAGTAAAATAATCGCCCTCTACTCCACAGTAATCTCTTTTCACCTTAATGCACCTGCAAATCAAGTGGGCTCTTGATTTTGCATTTAGCAAATTAGTTTTTCCCCTTGTTTCCTCCTATTACCCCCGGAGCCAGACCTTTTCGGAAACTCATATTCATAATGACGGCTTCTCCAGATCCCTTCGGATCTAAACAGAGCTGCCTCTGTCTCTCCCACAGGCGCTGCCTCGCTCGGGGGCCATGTGGGACATTTAGATAGTCAAAGAAAGCAGCTTTAGATCGTGGCTGATGTCTCTTTTTCTCCCTCTCTCTGGCTGCCTCCCCAGTCCTTTGAGCGGGTGCTGGTAGAGAATAAGCTCCACGGGTTGTCACCGGCCCTGTCAGAGGCCATCCAGAGCATCTCCCGGTGGGAGCTGGTCCAGGCAGCGCTGCCTCATGTACTCCACTGCACCTCCATCCTGCTGTCGAATAGGAACAAGCTGGGTGAGGATGTCCAGGACACACATTAGCACCGCTCCAGGCATCGAGCTGACAGCCTTCTCAGGGTTATCCTCATTCAACAGAGCACCCAACTTATGTTCTTACAGTCAGAGGACAGTTACAGTACAGCCAGGCAGGGCAGTATGCCTGGAGTCTTGTTGGAAACAAAGAATAGAAAAATCTGTCTTTGGAGTAAACCTAATATTCACATTACAGATTTTAACACACTGATATAAATGCACTCAAAGAGTAAAAAAGATATGTCAGTTGCATATTAAAATTCTTATTGGGGTCAATCTGGCTGCTATTTTCTCGATTGTTGACGATAACTCTGTAGGTCTACAAAAATAATAACAAGAAGAAACATCACATTTCCTTCCCCTGAAAGCCCCAAATCAAATTGTTTTATGTTTACCAGCACTAAAGAAATACAGGTAATTAAACAAACAACATTAATTCAGCTTAAAGAAGTGTTATGTGATGGCCTCTATATCAGAGCGCTTCTCCTTCTTTGTACTGTTGCTGTTCCTGAAGGTGTCTCGCCTCTCTTCTGCTTTCCTTTGTAGCGACTGTGAAGTCTTTTTTTTTTTTTGCTGAATGTTACAGCTCAAACGTCAAAATGGAAAGGAATCCCATCCTTACACCTGGAAATTGGACCCTTGAAAAATACATTTTTATATATGAATTTATGCATTTACTATTATATATTTTTATTAAAGTAATTATATATATATGATAATGATTTGAAGCCCAAGAACAGGTCGAGTAATTCTTTAAACCGGCTGAAAAATGACCAAAACGTAGATATATCATAACATATAGCTCCAATGATACACACACAACACCAGAGCTTCTTGCTGCCCATTCATCACCTCACTAAGCTGCACTCACCATTAACCCCTGACCTCTGCCCCCACAGGCCACCAGGACAAACTGGGCGTGGCCGAGACCAAGCTGCTCCACACGCTGCACTGGATGCTGCTCGAGGCCGCCCAGGAGTGCAACCACGAGCCGAGCCTGGGCCACGGCTGGTCCGCCGGTAGCAGCAGCAGCAGCGCCTTCCTCCAGCCAGTAGGGAACCAGGGATCATCCCCGGGGGCTCCGGGCTCCTGCTCTGGCTCTGTCCTCGGGGGGTCTGGGCTGCAGCACAGCGGGTCTCTGCCAGAAGAGGATGAACACGCTCGGACCAAGCTGTTCCACAAGAGCATGGCGACGGTGGAGCTGTTTGTCTTCCTGTTTGCTCCTCTTATACATCGGATAAAGGTATTTACCTGATGGAACAAAACATATTCAGCCTCAGTTTGGACTCTTAGGAGAGAAAAAAAAATAGTTTCTATTGTAAAAGGAATGATTTTCTCTGACATTTTAAGCAAAAGGTTCATTCAGCTGTACTGGAAGATATAAATGGCTCACATTAAACTTCACATTGATCTGTGTGTTCTAACAACTACAAGGGTCAAGCGACATTTCTCGTGGGATAGCGCTTGTTTCTCCCAAGTGGTCAATAAATTATTCTATCTATTAACCATAAATCACCCTACAAGAATCAGAAACCAGGGAAATCTGGAGACACTTGAAAGTCATGAAACTTGTTTTGCACATTAAAAAAAGGGGCCTATTGCTCCTACACTGCCAAAAATCCGAGCAAGTCAGCCGAATGTAGTGCAATGAGAGATGATTAACAACAAATACATTTTCTAATAACTGAATCTTTGTGTGTGCAAAACTGCTTTAACAGAATTCACTCTTTGTTTATAGGAGTCTGATCTGACCTTCCGATTGGCCAGCGGTTTAGTGATATGGCAGCCAATGTGGGAGCACCGACAGCCGGACATCCCTGCCTTCACTGCTCTCATTAAACCTGTCAGAAACATTGTCACAGGTGGGGGGGGGGGAGGGATCCTTACTAACAGCTGTATAGATTCCCTTCAAGAGTGAATCTATTTGTGTTTGTTCCTAATTAAGACGTGTAATCCGCTATGCTTGTCTCAACAGCCAAGAGGAACTCCCCAGTCAACAACCAGTGCAGCCCCTGTGGATCTGGCAACCCTGGTCCCATGGTGAGTGTGCATTTTTTTTTATTATAGCTCAGATACTGTGTGGTTTTGCGCCACGTATTGATTGAATGTGTTCAGGAAAAAGTGTGAGGCTTTTTCCCCCCTCCCCCCCTCACAGCATCCCCTTGAGGGTAGCTGCTAATATTCATTAGCACGAGCCATCCGGGAGCATTAGAGTGGTTAGCCGGGGTCAGGACAGAACCCTCACTCCAACCTCAACGCCTGTAATTATCAGGATTTATTTACGCTATCTGTCCATCTTTCTATTACCCGCAGGGCTTCCAGGTGGTCTGTGAAGCCGCCCAGTCGGATTCCTCCTCCCCCTCGGCCGGTGAGCAGAGCTGTCGCCGTGGTAACTCTGTAGAGAAAGGTGGCCCTTCCCAGCAGCAGCAGCCCCCGCCGGTGAAAGGCCCTTCCAAAAAAAGTGAGCAGCTTTAATCAATTTAACCCCCGAGAGTCAGTGAGACGGCAGTCATGTGTGTGTGCCATTGATTTTACATTTGGACGTCATGTTGAAGCTTCGCGCTAAATCAAGCCTGTGGTTCGACAGCAGGAGGAAGAGGTGTCATAAAGAGTGAACATGGGATTGGGAAGTGTGAGCATGATAAACCCAAAACACTTTTCATTAAAGGTTTTTTTTTTTTTTTTTACTTCCCCACACATGCCGTGACCCTTTTTTTTGACAAGGGTGACACTTTCGTCAGAACACTCTGTACTTTGAAATTTAAGCTTTATATGCTTTGGCTGGTTTTGTGACACAACTCCCATGCAC